AGGCCACGGCCATAATCACGGCGCCGGCGGTGGTTGCGGAGGCGGCGGATGCGGCGGTGGCGGCTGTGGTGGTGGTGGCTGCGGTGGGTGATAGAAAATATTTGATGCACAAATTAATGAGAGCAGTGATATTTTTGTTTACTAGTGCTTGTCATTTGAGAAGTTCTTTAATTCCTTGTTAATAATAAACTATTTTTTTCATATTTTTATTGATATATTAAATATTTAATGTATTATGCTTTTTATTTTGAATGTTATCAATTCAACATAGAATATCCTGAGGCCAAGGCTAAGAGCATTAATAATCAATGATCACAAGGTTTGAACCAGGAACGTACAACCAAACTTAAAAGCTACAAATTTCAATATGTATAATACTATATTATATATGAGAAAAGTATGATGATGAGATTAAATGCTATATAAAAAGAATAAAATATTAAAAGTAATGCTGTTTTATTAAAACTGTGTCGTTGATTATCATTAGAAAATTGGATTTGTGTCAACAACTATGACCATTTCTTGTCTATGCCCCTCATGCAGGAACATTTTTCAAAATATCTACACGTGTGTACACATTAGCATGTTATGGTGTGAATAATTTTTTTATTGAAAAATATTAAATAATATTTGAATTTTATTTTCTAATTATATTAAAGAAGGGGTACAACTAATATGTTTACGTGTGTAAATGAGTTGAGTTCAAACTCTCAATACCCGAGCTTTTATAGAGTTGAATTCGAGTCTTAACAAATTGAACTCGAACTTTAACCTTAACAACAAAAATTATTATATAAATAATTACATCTATAATATATATATATATATATATTAAAGCGGAGCAGCTCAAAGAAAAAACTTTTCCCGTCTAAACTATAATAAATACATGTAATTATTAGTGGTATTAATGTTGAAACAATCCACTCACATTTAAAAATGCTCTCTGAAATTAATGATTAAAATTGCACAAATTTAATTGAAAAATCTGAACTGAAGTTATTCCTCACGAATTTAAATTACGTAAATCTGTGCCATTAATTTCCAAAATATAACCACAACTCATTAGGGCGTCCCGAATGGTTGGCTATTTGGCTAACTATTATGACGTGAACAGGAGAAAAGTAGGAGAGAGAGTGGTCACTAGCGACGAACAAATAGCTTATCTATTTCACGTAGCCCAAGATCATGTGAGAGGAGTACGTGGGTCCAATAGTGTAAAATAGTTATTTTTCTTATCTCTCACATCCACGTCAGCTGACCATATAGCTAGTAATAACTATTACCATTGGGGATGTCCTTAACCTTCAAAATATAAATGTATTTTGTTTTCCATTTCCGCATTTATTTCAAAACATTCTACGTACAATGTTTCTATCTTTTGAGAAACCAAATATATAGCATTTATATAATAGCTAAAAAAATAGTATAATCACAAATATGTAGATAATCGATACATGTATCGTAGTAGTAGTTATAATAATAATAATAATAATAATAATAATAATAATAATAATAATAATAATAATAATAATAATAATAATAATAATAATAATAATAATAATAATAATAATAATAAGTAGATGAGAAAACAAAACTTGAGCCTAAACAATATACGAAAAATAGAATTATATTGTTCGGAAAAAAATAACCGGTCGAATCTTATTGAATTTTCGTGTTCGATCTAATACTCAACCAAATTTCATACTTTTTTATATTGCTTTCAAATAAATTAAAAAAATTTAAAACATAGACAAATAC